TGCGAGCTCTCTTTCCGCCTTTTCGAGGTTTTTTTGAACAGTCCGATGTTCTAAGAAAAAATGTCGAGTGCCTACAAACATTGAAATTGTTTACCTGCTCGAATTTCAGTTGAACTTTTGTCGTAGAAGCTAAAGAAGGAAGTGAGGTTCTCGAGCGTCCCACTATCCAGTGTAAACGAATCGCCTTCTGTCTTTGGACGAGAAACGACAGCGCTACCAACCTAGATCAGGAACATTTTTACCTAGCGTAATTTTCGAAAGAAGCAGTTAACAAGTTTTACAAAAGTTGAAGAATGATCAAAGAATAGCGGACCTCCCCTACAACCCTATCCAACACCTCGATTCTTCTTTGCAAAATGCCAACCCTATCCTGAAGTTTGTATACCTCCTGCTCCTTTTCGTCAATCTTTGCTCGTAGTTCCTTCGCCTCAAATACGTTCTAATCAAAGCTAACAGATAACCATAAGATTAAGAATGAGACTTACTTTTGGCGAATCTGTATCTTCAGGAGTGACGGGTTTATCCTGAAGTTGTACGTCATGGATAAAACCGTCGCCTCGACCATCGACTCGAACCGAATCGTATATGATATGATTGGTTACATTCTAAAAACTGGAGGAAATTGAGCAAATTCTTCAAATGATGAAATGTCTGAAAATAGAGTTCCGCAGAAAATGCGCAGAATCATGATGAAGACCTACTTTGCTTGTGAACTGTAATTGTCTCTCAATCCCCTCCCCCCTCCGGAAATGAATCGCGATATTTGAGTAAAGTTGTTCCTTTTTTACATAAAGTTAACTTACATAAGTTATAATCTGCAAGTGACTTGTTCATTTTTTAATAATTGAAATTATGTTGTAGAATTTTCAAAAGTTTAACTTAGACCGATATATTTTTTCGAGGTTATGGACCCGCGAAAATTCTGGGAAGCTACCAGTTTTTTCGGAAAGCGTGGCTGACGCCACGCACTTTCATCAAAAAAAAAATCTAGTCGCCCTCCCCCCGCCCTCACCCTTCCCCCTCCGAACGGAAATCCTGTTTATGCGACTGGTATTGCCACAGAACCCGAAGTGTAAGAGGTGGATTTTGTCTATTAACGTTCATCATTTGCTTGATGAGCAATAACGGAAAGAACATATATAAAATTTACTACAGTGGATCGAGGTAAACGAAATAAATATAAGAATATGAACGGGGAACAAAATGTGTCAAACGTATGTGTAAGTAAGTGGAAGTTGTTTGCATTTTTTTGGGAAGAGGAGCGAAAGTCCGGTTCTAATAAACGCTTTTGGTTTTGGTCTCAAACATTAAGCGCATCATAATTTATGAGTCGATGGAGTGGTCAGTTTTCAAGATTCGTAATTTTCTACGATTTACTACAAAAAACGAGAAATAATATTATGAGAGGTCAAACGTAAAATTGATGAGAAAGCGATCAAAATTGATGAGAAGGCGATCAATCATTGGCTGTAAGGTACTCTTCCAACTTTGATATATTTGATGTTTTGGCAAATTACTCAAAAAATTTCAGCTAGCTGTCCTTCATTCTTGCACATGATCTCACAGTCAGAAAAATGTCAATTGTGCACTAAAATGCACAGAAAGGTATTGTCAGCAAATTTTTTTTATTGGACTGCGTCCATATCTTTACTAGAAGCATTTGGAAATGAACTCACTTCAAGATAGACGTCGTTTAATCCCGGTTTTAGCTCACACTCCACTACTCGTTTCAATTCTGCTCGATCATTGAACACAACTACTCGTGCAAGTTGTTGATCGCGACATTCTTTTTTAATCACAGTTGGTGCAGCTTCATCCAGCATCTGGAGACTCGCAAAATATTGACAAAAAAGCAAAAAGATGATGATTGTGAAAGTTTTAGTAGAGTGAAAAACAGTGCTGGCAAGACATGAGCAAACAGCTGAATATTGGCATATTGTGAAAGAAAGCACTAAAAATTGATTTTATTCCGATGCATCAAATGCAGGCAAGCAATGCAAGCAAAAAAGCGCAATTATACAGCATACTAAGCTGACTGCATAAAGCCGTATTTTTATGGCAACGGCAAAAAGAAAAAAAAGGTGCACCTCGTTTAGATTTAGAAAGAAAGCATAACGTTTGTCTATCTTCTTGAGTAGCAATCAGAAATAAACATATGCCAAATCATCAAATAGAAGTTCAGAATTCGAGTATACAATTGCTAATAGCAAACAGTATAGCAAACAATAAAGAAATTAAGTATTTTAAGAGACAATGAGTTGCGATGTAACGTCACCGAACACATGAGCAAATCGCACAGGCACTCTCTAACAATGCCGCTCTATAAAGTGCACAGTTTCATTGGTTGGGTGTTCGATAGTCCATTTTACGTGAAGCTCTTCGGCCTTTCCACCTGCTATCAACACTGTCCATTCAAGGTTGCTCCCGTTCATTTTCGCACCCACCGTGGGCAGCTTCGCTTCCGTTTTCAGATTTTCTGTAAATAAAATAAATGTACGATGTTAAAGAAAAGCATGGAAAGTATTTTGAGATTTTTTGGTTAAGCAATGCAAGCAGCATGTCAGCCAAGCCATTCGACTGCAATCTCTGGACAGTGAATGAGCACAGAGAGTGGCCACGGTAATGATAGAGGTAGATTTATTTTTATCTTCGCCATTTCCATGCGCTTAATGTTCCATATGAACTGTTTTTCCTAGTCTGTTTTTCGAAATTTCATCATTGACTTTCTGGAGTATAATGGTGATCAGTAATAAAAGCTGATTCCCATTTGCAAATGTTACGATTGGATTATTTGAGATTAATTAATTCAGTCATTTTTCTTTACCTAAAGAGCACAAAGAGTTTGAAGCAAACACTTATTCTGCATGCAAAATGTTTTCTGAAGTGAAAGGCATATCAAAAATTGTTTGGTCAACAAAGATGAGGATAGTGGCAAGGGAAGCGTTTTTAGTCAAAATGACCTTTTTGAAGGAACAAATATCGCTTTGTAGAGTTTTGAATGCTGACCACAAATCTATCTTCTATGTCTGTCAAACGCCTCTGGATCGAGTTATGATTGTTTTTGGAGCAAAAAATAAATCTAATCTAGGGAAAAAGTAATTACAATCATTTCTAGGATTGACTAAAACAGTGTTGACTATGAGGGTATTGGACAGAAGCTATTGACTGAAGTGCTCTGATAATTAACACTTGACCATTTGAG